AACAAGACAATAAACATCAGATCATCATCAGATCATCATCAGATCCTCATCAGATCCTCATCAGATCCTCATCAGTTCCTAACCAGAACTCCGACCAGAACTTTGGCTGGATACTTATATCTGAAAAAAACAGAATTTAAAACAAAGGCTACAGTAAGAGACAAAGGACACTATATAATGATAAAGGGATCAATCCAATAAGAGGGTATAACCATTATAAACATTTTTGTACCCAAAATAAAAGCACCTAAGTATGTAAAGCAAATCTTGATGGACATAAAGGGAAAGGTTGATAGTAATAGAGTCAGAGTAAGGGATTTTAACCTCCAGGGACATCAATGGAGAGAACTTCCAGAAAGAAAACCAACAATAAAATGATGGCCTTAAATGACACACTAGATCAGGTGGGCTTAATTGTTATCTTCAGAGCATTTTACTCCAAAGCATCACAATATATATTTTTTTCAAGTGCTCATGGAATATTTTCTAGAATAGACCATATGTTAAAGCACAAATAAAATCTCATGAATTCAAGAAGATTGCAATCATGCTCTGGTCAATGTGGCTCAGTTGGTTGAGCATCATACCTTGCACCAACAGGTCACCAGTTCAATTCCCAGTCTGCCATATTCTCAGATTATGGGTTCAATCCCTGGTCAAAGTGTATATGGGAGGCAAACAACTGATGTTTCTCTCTCTCTCTCTTTAAAATAAATAAAAAAATATATTTTTTAAAAATCTTGAAATCATATAGAATTTTCTCTGGCTATAATGATATGAAACTAGAAAGCAATCAATCATAAGAAGGAAACTGAAAAACCCACAAAGACATGGCAGCTAAATAACACGCTACTAAACAATGAATGGTAATAATAAGATCAAGGAAGAAATTAAAAGATACTCTGAAACAAATGAAAATGAAAACACATAATCCAAAATCTATGGGACACAACAAATGTAGTCCTAACAGGGAAATTAATTCCCTCAAGAAACAGAAAAAAAATCTCAAATAAACAATCTAACTTTATACTTAAAGAAACTTGAAAAAACAACAACAAAGCCCAGAGTGAGTAGAAGAAACAACAAAGATCAGAGCAGAAAAAAAAATCACATAAAAACACACAACACAAAATAGAATCTAGAAATACAAGACAAAAGATCAATAAAAGCAAGCGCTATTCTTTGAAAAGATAAATACGAATGACAAACCTTTAAACAGACTAATCAAGAGAAAGAGGACCCAAATAAATAAAATCAGAATTGAAAGAGGATAAGTAACAACTGATATCAACAAAATACAAAAGATTGTGAGAAAATATTTTGAACAACTTTATGCCAATAAGTTGGACAATACAGAAGAAATGGATAATTCCTAGAAACATACAATGCTCCGAAACTGAATCAGGAGGAATCTGAGAATCTGAATAGGCAGATTACAACTAGTGAAATTTAAGCAGTGATAAAAATAAAAAGCAACAACCTCCAACAAACAAAATTCCTGGATCAGGTGGCTTCATAGGGGAATTTTACCAAACATTCAGAGAAAAAGGAACAATTATCTTCCTCAAACTATTCCAAAAAATTAAAGAGGAGCAAAGACTCCCAAGTTCGTTTTATGAGGCCTGCATTATCCTAATTCCCAAACCAGAAAAAATGACACTACAAAGAAAAAGAAATTATAGGCCGATATCCATGATTAACATAGATGCTTAAGTCCTCAACAAAATATTAGCAAACCGGATCCATCAATACATGAAAAAGATCAGAGATCATGATCAAGTAGGATTATTCTGGGGATACAAGATTGGTACAATATGTGCAAATCAATAAATGTGATATACCACATAAACAAAATGAAGAATAAAAACCACATGATCATATCTCTAGATGCAGAAAAATCATTTGATAAAACCCAACACCCATTTATGATAAAAACTCTCAGCAAAGTGGGAATAGAAGGAACATACCTCAAGGGAATAAAGGTCATATATAACAAACTAGAGCAAACATCATACTCAATGAGCAAAATCGAAAGCATTTCCCTTATGCCAACAAATTAGACAATAACACAGGGATGTCTACTTTCACCATTCTTATTCATCATAGTACTGGAAGTCCTAGCCACATCAATCAGACAAGAAAAAAATAAAATGAAAAATATCCAAGTTGGAAAGGAAAAATGAAAACTGTCATTATTTGCAGATGACATGATACTATATGTAGAGAATCCTAAAAGTTCCCACAATAAACTACTAGAACTGGTAAATTAATTCAGTAAAGTAGCAGGATACAAAATAAATATCTAGAAATCAGCTGCATTTTTATGCACCGATAATGAACTATCAGAAAGGGAAACAGTATTGAATTTTAAACTGTAAAATAAAACATGTATTCTTCTGCTAAATTTCTATGAATTCTATTCTATGATTATTCTTACTGAATTCATTTATACTCTTAATACAACAGACAATCAAATCATTCATATTCCAGTCTATTGGACCCAATGTATCTTCCATTACTTCTGTTTAAGGTTCTACTATTAAAGGCCAGACATGCTCCTCATAACTTTTATTCATTCAATTCTCATGAGAACTTTATAAAATAGATATATTTTTTTTTATTTTACAGATGAGAAAAGCCAGCACCACGAGCAAATAGTAATTTGCCCAAGGTCACTAAGTTTAATGAAATCTAAAATGATTTAGTTTCTGACACCCTTTAGGAGAAGGATAGTGTCAAATTCTTATCAATAGATCAAATACAGAAATCTGATACTAAAAAATCTGTTTATTCAATAAATTTCTAAGTCAAAAGACATACACATTTCTAATTAAGGTATACTTTGTAATAAAGATTCTGTGGGGTTTTTTTCTGGTAAAGTAATATATCTTGCACAAATTAAAATGAAAAATTGTGATTTTGGATTCATTTAAAAGTAATTTTCAAATCCTACCTAATAATAGACAAACATGGTAATTGACCGTACCTTCGCTATGCCTCCCATTGGCTAATCAGCATGATATGCAAATTAACCGCCAACAAAGATGACGGCTAATTTGCATATTGCAGGCAGGGCGGACCAGTGCAAGCCGCCATCCAGGTCCCCGTGTGCCGCCTAAGCCTCGTTGCCAGCTGGGACCCCTGTGTGCGGCCCTGGGCGGCAGGGCTTGGCAGAGTGAACGAGCCGCCTAAGCCCTGCCCCCAGGCGGGACCCCTGTGAGCGGCCCTGGGCAGCGGGGCTTGGCAGAGTGAACGAGCCGCCTAAGCCCCGCGGGACCCCTGTGTGCGGCCCTGGGCGGGCGGGGCTTGGCAGTGCGGGGCTTGGCGGGGCTAGAATCCTCCTGCAATGGGCTTCTAGTATAATAATAACTGACATGGAGTAGACATCTAATATTAGTTATTAAAGGTTGAGTCTTCCATCTATATACGCTTAAAATATCATTTGGCACGTAACACCAGAGGGACCAAGTATAAAGTGTAAGTAGCAACACTAATTTCTTTCTTGTAAACTTTTCTTATATAAGCTGTTAGGTTTTTTTTTTCTTTAATTTATTTTGAGCAGAGAAATGGATATTGAGCATTAAAGAAGATAAGATTTTCCCCATTAAAGAAACAAGCATGTAACCTAAAGCTACTACATTACAATATAAGGACTTTATTTGCACGTGCTATTTCCAGCATACTCATTTTTACATTTTAAATATTCTGAATAACTCCAGATAAGTGCTAACTGAATTGGTTTAGTTCAAAGTAAGTCATCTGTATGGCTCCCAATCTTTAGAGCCCTTGTTTCTTTTGTTCTATCATCTTCCACACAGAAATGTCAGCATTTCATTTTACCTTTAATTTCTAACACTACTTTGTATTTCAATTGTGTATCAAATTTTAGAACAGTCCAAGGAAAAGAGCTGTTAAAGTATCATTTTATATCAGATGTTTATATATGAAAAAATTATTTATTGCAAATATTATTGATACTACACCTTTATTAAATCATCACTATTAAAAATAACCTATTTTAAGTAAGTGTACTTCCACATTTCTAAAACTGAAAAAAAAGTTTAAAAACTTCATGGTGTATTGATTTTACTCCCAAACTAAAACTATACTATATGCAATTCAAAATTATTTTCTTTTGTATATTCCATCATTTTCACATTTAACATAACATCAAAATCCAGTTTCATTTATGGAATTTTTAAAAGGTATTCTGAGATGACAAATAAGCAATATGATAATTCTTGCCTCTCAAAGAAATATTCGAAATTATGAGGGATGAGTGATTATAATTTGAAAAGAAAATGATGGTGTTTTAACAAATAATATACAATGGTTGGCAAAGGTTAAAAAAACAAACTAAATGAACACAGCTGAGAGTGAATGAAAATAAAATAGCAACAACTTAACCTCAAATCATTCTAACTATTAAATAATGATGGGGAAGTCTCAGTACAATATATTGGCACTGTAACAACACAGACATTCAGCGGTGAAAATAAGGTATTTATTACTTACATTAAGTTTTAAGCAACTCCAGTGCTTAAGTTATTGAAAAAGACTCTTATCAAAAGGCTTTTATTTTTATCCATAAAAAGATTGCTTTCTCCTTACCCCACATAGACCCAATGAATTTAATAAGATTGAAAATTTCCTAATTTAATTTCTATTACTAATCTGTAATATTTTCTTTCAGGTTCTAGAGCAGAGATACATTGCATAATATAGTTTTATCATATTAAAAACTGCAGTGATGCCCTAACCGGTTTGGCTCAGTGGACAGAGCGTCGGCCTTCGGACTCAAAGGTCCCAGGTTCGATTCCAGTCAAGGGCATGTACCTTGGTTGCGGGCACGTCCTCAGTGGGGAGTGTGCAGGAGGCAGCTGATCGATGTTTCTCTCTAATCGATGTTTATAACTCTCTATCCCTCTCCCTTCCTCTCTGTAAAAAAATCAATAAAATATATATTAAAAACTGCAGTGATTATTCAAAAGACAACTTACCCACTGGTTCCTTTTGATTCTGAAAAAGAATTTTGCTATTACTGCCATCCATGTTTGCCATGTTGATTGTGTTTCCATCTGTCCAGTAAAGTTTCCTTAATTCAAAAAAGATATGGATTAAAAATATTAGATGTATATCTGCTTGTTGACTAGAAATATACATGAAAGAACAAAATCAATGTTAAAGTAAATTTTTGGCCCAGCGTTAATTTCTTATAGGAAGGTCCCAAATTGTTGAGCCTCTTGCTTATAGTAACCTTCTTATTTGCCTGGGAAGAAAGCATCACTCTTGCTTTTTCCTATAACTGAAGGACAATTTTCTATCTCACTTCTTTTTACCTCCTACATTCACAATTGAATATTTAACTATGACTACAGTAAATTCTTCCCATTAAAAGTAATGCATCAATATTGAGTTATCTTGGCTTTGATAAATCAGGCTTCTTAGAAAGGAACTGTCATTTCAACCATTCCCATGGAAAGTGCTAAGAAGAAAGAATTTATTTTAGCCCTACACAAGCTTTCTATGTGGGTACATGCTGACTAACCAGTAAATGGGAGAGTCTAATCTATCTATGATAGCAACATGTGGTAAATGTTATTAACAATTTTTTCTTGAAAAGAAATCACTGACTGTTTCATGCATTTTAAAAATTGTGATTCCTTAAAAACAAAAATTAATGAGATTTTATAATAATGTATAAGAATCTGATTTTATGCAAATAACAAAAATCTCTAACCAGGGATCCCATTTACAATTTCCATATTCACATTTGCTTTTCTGACTCTATAACATATATGTGTTCCCTTAATTAGACTAAGATATTTTTTTTATTTTCAGGTACAGTAGGTATTAAATATTATTTTATATTAGTTTCAAGTATACAGCATAGTGGTTAGACAATTATATAATTTACAGAGTGATAAAGTTTTTTTTTAAATATAAAATCAGAGCAAAGATGTGTGAAATTTTAGAAAAACTTAAAAAATAATCATACTTTACCCCCTGACTGGGTGAGCTGTCAGACACTGTGGCTTATCAATTCCATGAATAATTGAGGTTTTCAAAGAGCCATCTAGTCTTGCCACATTAATCTGTGTTTCATCAAATTCTGAGCTAATCCAGTACAAATTCCGTGAGACCCAATCCACTGCTAGCCCTCTGATACTCTGAATATCTACAAAACAGGAAAAAGAAAATTAAAAGTAAATGAAGTTTCTCATTCTTTCGGCTTTTCAAGTAAGTTATTTTCTGTCTCAGGGAAATTTTAATTTACACTTTAATTTGTTAGCCAAAATTGTACAAGATTGTAATCGCATTCCCTCATCAGCCCTTCTTAAAACATGAATAATCATTAATGTCTTACTGCCCAGCCGTTTTGAAACCTGACACCTCAATTAGCATTGAAATTACACTAACAGTCCATGATTCACTAGTAAACACTTAGCAGCAGAAACAAGCTGCAGTCCTATGGGCCAAGGTGACGAAATTCAAATTAGAGTAATAGCTTCTCCAGTTGGTAGCACATCTTTCTAGTTAGGAGAAAGTACTTGTGAAGCATCAACAAATGTGCTATTTTATGTTTTAAGTGCCAATTTGTTACTGAAATGAAATAAAACAATTCAACTTTCCTAAAAGAATTAATAGACTTGAACATCCTTCAAAATAGAAAGTTAACCGACTAAGATATGAACAAAGAAACTAAAACCTTTTTAACATTCCTCCATCGTGGATTCTACAGAAATTACTGAAATCTAATTAAGTTTCAGTACGTTATAGCCAATATGAATATTTGGGTTGTTATTCCTTGATTATCCAATTAGGCATTTAAAAAAAGCGATGGAATTTAGGCTTAAAGACAATTGCATATTTTAATTAAAGAAATAAATTAAAATAAAGTCTTAACAATGATAGATACTAGAAAATCTTTTCAGCATATTAACATGTAAAGTAGGCCATTTAGTCCCCTACCTGCGGCATTTTATAACTCTAACTTGGCCTTGCCTTGATTTTACAAAACTTAAAAAATGTGTTCGCGGAATGTACCTTCTGAGTTCTCTAGACCCATCTGTGTTACTCAAGCTTACAAAGCAGCTGGAGACTGTTAAAATGAAGATGCTGACCCAGCAGGTGTGGCAAGAGGCAAGAGTCTGAAAGTTCTAACTAGCTCCCCCTTGCGGCTACACTGTTCCAAGCAGAGGCTCCAATCTAAGTGCCTCCAGAACCCCATAGCCACTGCCACTTACCTCATTGAATTGTTACATCTTCCTATTTAACATTTTCAAAAAATGCCACAAAGCTAGATTTGCACCTTAAAGGGAAGGCTCCAGATTGCCAACTGGTTGAAAATTAAACATAGCAAAACATAACACAGAGGCCTGGCAGTTCTGGGTCAGCTCTAAAGTGTAGTGTTGGCCTGGGGACCTCCACCACAGCAGATTTCCTGGAATGTCGACCACGCTGACTTTCCTGCTCAAAAATCCTTGAATTGTTTCTAAATAAGTTTTAATGACGGTGCCCTTAGAAGGTATTTCTCATGTTTCAGTAACTCTAATCAACACCCTCTCACTCTGCAACTTACCTTTCATCATTAATTTATTGGTATATTGGTGGATTTTGAATGTGAACTTCATTTCTAAATTCAAAATTTGAAATTTATTTTTATTTAACCTACCCACTTCCTTCTTTTCTAAAAAAAAAAAAAAAAAAAAAAAGGAGAGAGAGAGAAAGAAAGAAAAGAAAGTAATACAACACCTCTGTAAAATTCAATCTGCCATGTCTGATACTTCATTATTTGCCCCATCCAGGATATTTATTCCTCATTCTCCTTCACTCTCTGGAGTTAATTGGTTGCTGAGAGATAGATAGTATTATAATGAGACCTGGCTTCATGTTTTAGGTTGTGTACCTGTTTTTTGTTTTTAATCAAGTCACTTAAATTTTGGCCTCTTACAGGAAAATTAGTGACCCAGTGCACGAATTTGTGCACATTGAAAGGAAATTAATTAGAGGAAATGTTTTAATATTGCTATTTGCCCTTTCTCTATAATAGAAGTGTCAACCAAATTCACGATTGACAATTGCAGATCAAAACACATGCATGCAATTAGCGCCAGCAAAAGCTTTATATGTATCACGCATGCGCGAGTCAACTTAGCCTTTTATATATATAGAATAAACTCGCTTAATTAGACCTGCTTTCTGATGTAGCTAAACTTTTTCCAGCCCAGTGAAGCATACCAACTTCTCTTTCAGGTAACTGTCAGCAATACAGCAGTAAATATCAACATGAAGCAGATTATTATTGTAGATCACGCAGGGAGAACAAAGGGTAAAATATTTAACTGCAGCAGTGTTTGACTATATTCTCTGCAGTGAGAAAACCTGAAGTCATTTTTAAGGTCCACCATTTCTTACTTCTTTTCAGTCGGCTCAAGTTTCTAAGCTTTCTAAATCTCTGTTTTCTGGCTAATGAAAAGAAAATAGGATTCCACTGAGTCTCTTATCTATCTCCTCCAGGACTTCTGTGAGGATCAAATGAGATGAGGCATGGGAAAATGCTTCACAGACATTTGGTTAAAGTGTAAAATGTTTCTACCTGGGTATAAAGCAAATCGTGTTTCTGGGCTGAAGAAAATGCAAGGAGACTAGTTGCTAGGGAGAGGAATCTAGGCATTGCTATGTGACATCATTATACAGATGGACACTTAGCAGATTAGCCATTTTATATATATATATAGATTAGGCTAATTATAGATAACACATAGGATTTCTGTGAATATTTTATTATATGATATGTATTTGTGTACCTTAATGCAGGGTGGAGGGCTACTTTGCCAATCCAAGGACTTAATATCTTCTCTATTTTTACTCTGGATTGCTTGGTATTGGCAAGAATAATGAAATTAGTTTTTATTTCCTCTAAAATACATGGCTACCCAAAGTAGTGTTGTTTTTTTGTGGTTGTTGTTTTTTGTTTTGTTTAGTTGTTTTTTTTTTGTTTTTTGTTTTGGCTGTCTCTGCTGCTCAAAATTTATTTCTGATTGAGTCCTAATCACATCCTAGAGAATACAGTGCACTGTTAAACTGGAAAGCTAGCCAATGTAATCTATTAATACCTATTTAGTCCTTGCCAATTATATGGTTCATGCTCTCCCAAATCTACTTCTATCTTTAATACCACAATAGCATCCAGTCTTTTTCCTCTTTTACGCAGTTGATTTAGTTGCTGCCAGGTTATTTTTCTAACTAGAGAGCTCTGGATCATGACCTTTGTTTGCCCCATGGTATTCCATTGCTTCCAGCCACTTAGAAAGTGATGTCTAAATTCCTTAGCTTGGCTTTCTATATAATATGAATATAACTACCTTCCCAATCATATTTCTCACTATTTTTAACAATTACCTTACATGTCAATCATATTGATGTGCTTTCAGATTTCCAAAGGTGTCCTGTCCTTTCCAACCTATAAGGAATTATCTGGCCAATGTCTTTCAATGTAATGTGATAGTTATTTGCTGACATATTACTACTATCACCTATACTTCTTGAGGGCAGGGTCCTTGCTAATTTATCTTTATAGCTCTCATCCTCAAATATATACAAATCACCTTCAAAATAAATATCATTAATGAACTGATGAGTACATTCATAACATGCACAATCTACAATTTTAAGATGTGTGAGCTGAAATCAATAAAAATATCTTAAAAAAAAAGACAATACAGAGGCTTGTGTAGCCATAGGGGCAAAACCTTGCAATGAGACTCTAGGGATTCGTGGATTTGTAGTTAGTTGCTCAGTTCAGAGGGTTCAGACCTTAAACTCACAAAGAGTAGGAGAGCTAAACAAGGACACACTCAGGTATTACCCGAAGGGTGTAAGTCCTCAGTGATGGGTCACTGGGGAAAAATAATTGGCCTGCTCCAAAAGGAGAATATTTTAAAATAAAATGTTTTTTAAATTATTATGTGTAAGAAACCAAGATGGCGGCATAGGTAAACACCGGAGTTTGCTGCCTCGAACAACCACTTCAAAAATACAACTAAAAGACGGAATGGACATCATCCAGAACCACAGGAAGACTGGCTGAGTGGAAGTTCTGTGTAAGATAAAGAAAAATGAGTGGAATATTTTAAAAGAAAAATATGCTTTGAAATAATCCTAAGATATAAATGAGAACCAAAAGTAACTTTTACATAGTTTTAAAAATACAATATATATATATATATATATATATTTAAAAATACAATATATATATAAAGTATCAGGGACATTAACTAGCAGCTTAGGCAGATTAACTAGTGAACTGCAATGCAAATCGAAGGACATTAGTCAGAGCCAACACAGAGAAATAAAACAATCAGAGGAATTGGAGGTTACAATGAACTATCTTGCACATGTAGTCAGTTTCTAAAGGCGGGGATACAGAGACTGGGTTAGAGAAAATGGTAAGAGAGAACATTTGAGGGTGTTTTGTTTTCTCTCCAGGTTGATGAAAGACATGACCTCATAGGAGGCACAAGACTCTTAGTGGCTAAATAAAAAAATATTGTCATGAGGAAAAATAAAACATGAAAAGTAGCTAAAGAGAAAAGAAGAGAAAAACACCTAAAAGGAATAACAATTAGATAAACATGGAGGTTCAATATAGCAATGAGGGATACCACAAGATAGTGGAATGATATCTGGAGAAGATTGAAAGAAAACAGCTCTGAACTTGGAATTTATAGTCAACACAATTATTATACTATAACAACAAACACCCAAATAATTTTCTTTACAAAGGGGCACAGGACTTGAATATACATTTATCCAAAAACAGATATAGAAATGCCAGTATGAAAGGACGCTCAGCATCACTAATCATTAGGAAATGCAAATCGAAACCACCATTAGTTACCACCTCACACTCATTAGAATGGCTACTAAACAACAAAACAAATTTTTAAAAGAAGTTAGAAAAAAACAAGTGCTAAGAGGGATTTGAAAAAATTGGAACATGTGCGTGTATTATTGGTAGGAATGTGAAATGGTACAGCCTCTGTGGGAGACAGTATGGCAGTTCCTCAAATAATTAAAAATAGAATTACCTTATGATCCAGCAATTCCACTTTTGGGTAAAAAGTCAAGGACTGCATAATGATATTTTGGTCAAGGACAGACCGCATATATGAA